ACAGGGCAGAGGGTTAGGGATAGGGAATCAAGGATGGCAAAAAAAGAGAAAAAACTCAAAATATACAAGACATAAGAAATGGAAAATTGTTTGTTGATAACACATATGTTGATGTACTTGATTGAGCCAACAGACAATGTATTTTGGATGAAAAATTCATTTTGTATACTGTAATGATGTATAGCATATTAATGTTAAAAAATAAAAACAAATTAAAAAAAAAAAAGAATCACTTAGGTATTTTCTAGAAGATGAAATTAAGAAGGTACAACTAAGATTTTCATGTTCAAACAAGTGAACTAATCTCCAGTAAGAAACTAGAAAATTTAGGGGCCCACAGGTAGTGAGGTGGTTGGGGGCACTGGACACCCACATGGCTGACCACAGTTCGAGTCCCGGACCTGGCGGTTTGCTTTCTCATTTTCTCTCTCTCTCACTGTGTCCCTCTCTGGTCAAATTAAAATAAGTAAATAAATAAAGTTAAATAAAATAATTCTTTTAAGAAAAATAAACAAAGAAATTAGAAAATTTGTTGAATTTATATTCTTGAACAAACTTTTTTTTTTGGAGAGGTTTTTGCTATAGGGTGCGTGTCCTTGCCAGACAGAGACAGACAGAGAGACAGAAAGCGAGAAATCACCCCCCGGAGGGATGGTCACGCCGCAATCCCTTCTCCTCCATTCTCCTCTCGGAATCTTGGGCACGCACGCACACGCACCCGGCGTGAGTTTTAAGTCATCGGGTCCAGGACTTGAACCACGGTCGACTACGTGGGAGTCCAGCGACATAGCCATTACTCTAACTGCTGGTCTCTTGAACAAACTTTTTAAAGCAAACCAATGAACCAATGACTGTAACCCATAAATATCATTCTGAGGGCCAGGCAATGGCTCAGTGGTGATGCAACTGGACCCACACAGAAAGCATCTTGGGTTAGTGTCCTGGGAACTAATTGTCCCTGAGCAATCTGACCAGCTGAGACTGGGCACGAACTGTAAAGACCCCGTATGGGTGCCTTTCTCTCTGTGTGTGTCTCGTGGAAGAAATAAATGAACTGTAAACAAATTATTCTAAAACAAGTATCCAATTAAACCAGTATTAGATTAAAATGAAGTTCTATTTCTTTTTCTTTAAAGATGTTTTTGCTATAGAGCATGTGCATGTGTCAGAGAGACAGAGAGAGAGAGACAGAGAGAGAGAAAGAGGGGGGATGGCCACGCAGCAATCCCTTCTCCTCCATTCTCCTCTTGGGATTTTGGGCATGTATGCACATGCACCTGGCATGAGTTTCAAGCTGCTGGGTCTGTGACTAAGGTCGACTTTGTAGGAGTTCAGCAACGTAACAATTGTGCCATCTGCTGGTCCCAGGAGCTCTGTTTCAACATGAGTGGGAGGTTTCTGTGGTACTCTCCCACAGGGGACTTTAGGAAGTCTCAATAAGTAAAGAGGATAAAGATTTGGAGGTCATTGCCACAAGAATGGAAGTAAAATTCACAGAAGAGGACAACCTTTCCCATGGGAAGAGTTTAGAGCAGATAGAGAAATAAGTCCAGGACAGGCCACTAAGCAACACCAGCTGAGGAAGAGGGACCCAAGAGGATACTGAGAAGACCAGGCAAGGAAGACAATGGGAAGCCGGGACAGTCACCGGAGCCACGGTGAACAGAACTCAGAGAAGCATGGTGTGAAGAAGGGTGTCCCCTCAGTACTCTGAAGGTATCTGAAGAGGTGACTTCAGATATCCCTACAACATTTAACATTTCGTTACTACTAAAATGGGAGATCCTAACTTGAAAAAGTGAAGCATTTCTTAGAATTCCTCAAAGATATCTTGAATGACTGTTTCCTAACTATAGAAGGATCTTTTTATAACACTCTCATTTTATTAAAAATAAAATGCTCATAAATCAAAGTATTTTAAGATGTTACAAATCAGGCCAGCCCTGTAAGGCAGCAGTTAGGCGTGATGAAGAGGAGCCTGGATTCCTCATGGCTGGCCAGCGTTTGAGTCCCAGCTACTGGTGTGTGCATGTCCAGGTTTCCAAGAGAATAGAGAACTGGAGGAAAAAGGGTTGTAGCCAGGCCCCACTGGGGAGTGTCCTCTCCTTCATGTCCTCTCTCACACACATGCACATGCCCTCTAGCAATTAAAAAAAAAATTTTATCAAATATTATTGTAACACGGCAATAGCTAAATATTAGATTTTGCTCAGGAAAAGTTTTACTGTAACATCAGATTGGAAACAAATGTAGAATCCCTAATCCTTAATATTCGGTTGTTGGAAAAGTCATGATGCATTTTTACATAGAAAAATACGTCATGACTTTTCCAACAACCCAATCATTTTGATTGTGGATTGGACAATTTATGGCTTTTAGATAGAAGAACTGAGTTTGGGGCCAGCAGATGGCATAATGGTTACTTTGCTGGACTCCCACCTAATTGACCGTGGTTCGAGTCCTGGACCCAGTAGCTTAAAACTCCCTCTGGGGCTCTGTGTGTACATGACCAAAATCCCAAGAGGAGAATGGAGGAGAGGGGATTGCAGCATGACCATCCCCCTAGGGGGTGATTTCTCACTTTCCGTCTCTGTCTGTTGAGCGTACACACCCTAGGAGCAAAAAATCTCTCGTGTGTGTGTGGGGGGGTGGGTGCTCAATTTTATGTTCATTTTTCCTTAAGGACTTTTTTTTTTTTGGAGAGGTTTTTGCTATAGGGCGCATGCGCTCGCCAGACAGACAGAGAGAGACAGAGAGACAGAGAGACAGAAAGCGAGAAATCACCCCCCAGGGGGGATGGTCACACCGCAATCCCTTATCCTCCATTCTCCTCTCAGGATCTTGGGCACGCACGCACATGCACCCAGCGTGAGTTTTAAGCCACCGGGTCTGGGACGCGAACCGCGGTCAACTACGTGGGAGTCCAGCGACATAGACATTACACTAACTGCTGGTTCCCAAGGACTTTTGATATGAAACCTGATAACACATAAGCACTGACCTGTTAGGTATGTAATGTTGGGAGATTTTCCTGGGTTGGGCGAGGTTGTCGAGTCTTTTGGAAGCCTGAGCCTTCAAAGCATTCTGGGAAACAGGCCAAATGGGATCTTGATTTCCCCAAAACAATTTTCTGTTAAGAAACATAAAAATAAAATGGTACAAATTTCACAGCTAATGAAAATCTAACATGTCCTCAAGTTTCCTTTTGCAGTTATACCCATATTTTTTGCAGTGTTTCTTTACCTTTCTTTTTTTAAAGATTATTTTTATTTAACTTTCTTTATTTATTTAGTTTAATTTGACCAGGGAGGGACAGAGAGAGAGTGAGAAAGTGAGAAACACACTGCCAGGTCTGAGGCTCCACCCACGGCCATGTGGGAGTCCAGCATCCTTAACCACCACGCCACTTGCTGGTCCCTTTCTGAAATGTTTCTAAATACAGAAACTTAGAGATCATACTTTACTCCTCCTTCAAACTTAAAAAAAAAAAAAAGTATGTAAGCCAATTAGACTTTTTAAATTTATTTTATTTATTAGCATTATTATTTAATTTGATCAGAGAGAGAGAGCGAGAAAAAGAAAGTGAAAAAGCAAGTTTGGGACTCTAACCATGGTCAGGCGTGTGGGAGTCCAGCACTTTAACCATCATGCCACCTACCGGTCCTGCCAATTAGATTTTTTAAATGTATTTATTTTATTTATGATCGTATGCGTGAGAGAGAGAAAAGAGTTAAAATAACCACCTTTGCCAGGGTCTGGTCTCGCTACAATCCCTTTACTCCAGCCCTACCGCTCGTTTGGATCTCAGGCACACACAGACAGCGTGTGTCAGGACAGCCAGGCTGGGAACCCAGAATCCAGTTGGCCATATGGCTTCCAGCACTGTAGTTCAGTACTGCTACCATAGCATGTGCACCACTGAGGCTGGGCCTCAGACTCACAACTCGGTGGTCACTAGGCTTTATCTATCTATATCTGGACCCTAACCATTCTCTCAACCACTGTGGCTGCTGCTCTTTTTTCTTTTTTCTTCTTTTTTTTAAGGTTTTTGCCTTAGGGCATGTGTGCTCACTGGAGAGAGAGAGACGCACAGACAGCGAGAGGGAAAATGAGAAATCAACACCCTGGGGAGATGGTGACACTGCAACCCTTCTCCATTCTCCTCCTGGGATCCTGGGCACGCATGCACACATGCCCAGTGTGAGTTTCAAGCCACTAGATCTGAGACTCCAACTGTAGTCAACCATGTGGGAGTCCAACAATGTAACCACTACGCCTCTGCCAGCCCCAGTGGCTACTGTATTAGGATAGGCTTTCATTATTTTTCTCTTGTGTTATTGAAATAGCCCTGAATCAATGTTTCTGGCTTTACTTCTCCATACCATCAAAGGGACTATGCCTTTCTTTCTTTTTTGTTTTTTTTAGAGGTGTGAGTTTAAGCCACCGGGTCCGGGATCCGAACCACAGTTGACTACATGGGAGTCCAGCAACATAGCCATTATGCTAACTGCTGGTTCAAGGGACTATGCCTTTCTAAAGAGGGTGAAGTAATGGAAATCAATGGGATTTATAGCTAATGGATATAGATTCAAACCCAAGTTTTGATAGCTGCAAGCTGGGTGAAGTTGAGTCAGTTCTGAGCAATGTTTTTACTGTTTTCAAATAGGAGTGGGGAGGATATGCTAAGGTTTTGACAGTTGTATCAAATTTATCCATGCATACCTGTTATCTACATGTGTGTGTTCCTATCCAGGAAATGACTAGATGAACATGAGTGGAGTTAGTCAAAACCATACCAAGGTGACAGTGTTAAGACCAACGGGACTTGGGCATTTGTCCAAACACAGCAGTGAAGACCACACAGCAGACAGCAGCAGCCTTGGTCAGGCATTGGAAAAGACAAAGGGGAAGTTCCATGGCAAATATTGACTTAGCTGCAGGACGAGGGAGAAGTATGCCAAGTCACCCCTGGCAGGATGAGAGCTGCTGGGAGTAGCAGTCATAGATTTTGAATAGTTGTGGTCCCATTGGCAGAAATATGTCTATTGTGAGACGAATGTAATCTTGTCTTATCCTGATCTTATTAAGCATCCAAATCGTCTGTCTTTCATTATCTAAAATTTAGATTTTAGATTATAGCAAAGTTGCAGGATATAACATTAATAATATACAAAACTCTATTGATATCCTTATATACCGACAATAATCATTGGAATTTGAAATTAAAAATATAACATCATTTACATTAACACTGAACATAATTAAATATATAAGCATAAATCTAACAAAATATATATGACGTCTATATAACAAAACTACAAAATTCTGAAGGAATTAATGAAAATCTAAATAAATGGAAAGATAGTCTATGTTCAGGGATAGGAAAATTCAATATTAAAATATTAATTCTTGGGAAGCAGCAGTTAGCGTAATGGCTATGTCGCTGGACTCCCACGTAATTGACCGCGGTTCGCGTCCCAGACCCGATGGCTTAAAACTCATGCCGGGTGCGTGTGCGTGCGTGCCCAAGATCCCGAGAGGAGAATGGAGGAGAAGGGAATGCAGTGTGACCATCCCCCCTGGGGGGTGATTTCTCGCTTTCTGTCTCTAATGTCTCTGTCTATCTGGTGAGCGCACGTGCTCTATAGTGAAAATCTCTCCAAAAAAAAAATTAATTCTTCCCAACTTGGCTTATAGATTCAATACAATCCCAGTAAAAATCTCACCAAGTTATTTAATGCATATGAACTGATTTGAAAGTTTATGTAGAAAGGCAAAAGACTTCAAATAGTTGACATGATATTGAAGAAGAACAAAGAGGACTAACACTACGTGACTTTAAAAACTTACTATAACACTATGGGACCAGCAGTTAGCGTAACGGCTATGCCACTGGACTCCCATGTAGTCAACTGTGGTTCGAGTCCTGGACCCAGTGGCTTAAACTCACGCTGGGCACATGTGCATGCGTGCCCAAGATCCAGAAAGGAAAAAGGAGAAGGTATTGCTGCGTGGCTATCCCCCCTGTTATGTTATTTCTTGCTTTCTGTCTCTCTGTTTCTCTCTTTCTGGCGAGTGCACGTTCCCAATAGCAAAAACCTCTCTCAAAACAAAACAAAACAAAACAAAACAAAACAAAAAGCTTACTGTAACACTACAGTACTCAAGACAGAGAGGTATTGGTAAAAGAATGGACAAATTGGTAGAATAGAATAGAAATATTAGAAATATATCCATGCAAGTCAACCCCATAGCCTAGTGGTTAAATAAACCAGATCCCACAGAGCCAACTGCAGTTTGAATCCTGTCCATGATGGCTTGAAACACACAATGGCCATGTGCATATGTGACCGAAATCCTGACAGAAAGGAGGAATGGAGGAGAAGAGACCATGTCCAGTTGGAAGGTCCCTCTCCCTCCATCTCTGTGTCTCTGTCTTTCTCTAGTGAGCACACTGCCCCCTGGCAAATACAATAGAAAAGAGAGAAAGAGAGTCACACGAAAAAGTTATAGGATTAAAAGCAAGTAGATCAAGAAATGCTAAGTCTTTCTTTTTCTTTTCTTCTTCCTTGATAGTGTGTATGAGAGAGAGGAGAGAGAACACCCATGACAGGACCCTGTTACACCATGATTGCCCCCTTTCCCGGCCCTTGGGCTCTTGGATGCCCACACAGGCTCAGTGTGCTTTCAGGCTGACCCGGGCCTCCGAATCTGTGCTCAGCCACGTGGTTTCTAGCACTGCAGTCGAATACACCACAAAGAGCGCCACCTGGCTGGGCCTAGCAAAGATTCAACAGTTGTTGCTGGAACGCTGGACCTCTGGAAAGACCTTACCCCTTTCACAAAAATCAACTCAAAATGTATTATAAACCGAAATATAAATGGAAAATTATAAAACTTCTCAGTTTATAGAAAAACACAGGAGGGATCAGTAGATGGTATAATGGTTATGTTGTTACTGGACTCCCTCGTAGCTGACCACAGTTGAAGTCCTGGATCCGGTAGTTTGAAACTCATACCGGGCACGTGTGTACATGCTCAAAATCCTGAGAGGAGACTGGATAAAGGATTGCAGTGTGGTCATCCCTCCTGGGGGGTGATTTCTCACTCTCTGTCTTTCTGTCTCTCTCTGGCAAGCGCACATGCCCTATGGCATAAAAACCTCTCTCTTAAAAAAAAAAGAAGACAAAGAAAACGTACAGGAATAAATTCAGGTAAGCTCAGATCTGGCAATTAGTTTTAGATGTAACAGCAAAAGTATGATTAATAAAATAAAAAATTGACTTCTTTAAAACTTCATTAAGGGGCTCGCAGGTGGCATGGTGGCTAAGGCACTGGAGTCCCACATTGCTGACTGTGGTTAGAGTCCCAGACCGGGCAGTATGAAAATCACACTGGGCACTTGTGCACGTGTGCCCAAAAATCTCAGGAGCAGAATGGAGGAGAAGGGATTACTGCGTGGCTGTCTTCCCTAAGGGGTGATTTCTCATTTTCCCTGTCTCTTTTACTCTTTGGTGAGCACATGTATAGCAAAAACCTAAATAAATAAGTAAATAAAACCTTTTTTTCTGCAAAAGACACTGCTAAGAGAATAAAAAGACAAAACACACAGACTGGGAGACAATATCTGCAATTTACATATCTGATAAAGGACCGATATCCCAAATAGACAAACAACATTTAAAACTCAATAATTACATCTTTAGCTATACCACCCTGAACACGCCCACTCTCATCTGATCTCAGAAGCTAAGCAGAGTCGGGCCTGATCAGTACTTGGATGGGAGATCATCTGGGAAATACACAGGTACTGCAGGCTTAAAAAAACACAACAGTAAAACAAACAACCCAATTTAAAATGGGCTAAAGATCTGAGCAGACGCCTCACTAAAGAAGAGCTATAGAATGCAAATAAGCACTCTGAAATATGGTCAATAGCATGTCATTAGGGGATTATAAAGTAAAACAATGAGATTCCATTAAACACGTACTAGAATGGCTAAAACCCAAGACACTAAAACGCACAAACACGGACCACAGCGAAATCTGATAAGGACGTGGAGCAACAGGAACACTCATGCATTGCTGGTGAGAATGCAAACGGCCCCCTCACTTCAGAAGGCAGATCAGAGCCTTTCTGGGGACAGGCTCAGGCTCTGGTCAATGTTAAAGCTCCCCAGGTGATCTCATTGTGCGGACCAAGTTGAGAACCACTGCGGGGACCGGGGCTGGGAGTTGTTAGCCTTCCATGACTGACTCAGCTGAAGTAACAAGGTGGCTCAGTGAATCCAGCTGAGCAGAGGAGAGGGGGACACCCTGGGATTCAGGGGTCCTAATACTTACCTCTTTGCCGTAGCAAACACAGTTGTCACAAACAAGACCAAGTGATAGTGCCTTACCTATCCGGGGTTCCCCATTGCTTTTTAGGCCTAGAAAGCTCTTGGATTCTCTTCCTAGAAAAAAAACTAACAAATTCCAGCCGATTAATTTCAAAAGAATGCTTAAGAAATACAGTTACACTAGATGACTTCTACTCAAATAAATCACGTGTGTGGGGAAAAAAAAGAAACATTATATTTGAAGTGATTTGAAGAGTGCTGAAAGGCTAGAAGAATCAAAAAATTACTGGCGACCCCAAATTCTTATTGTAGACTCATTAGCATAGTACATACTAACATAAAGACAGTAAATCTACATCAAAACAAAGAGCATATTGTCTCCAGAAGACCCTGGGTAGGGCCAGAGGTGGTGTGGAGGTTAAGGCAGCTGGATCTACATGGTTGACTGTGCAATTGGAGTCTCGGATCAGACAGCTTGAAAAACACACCAAGCATTGGGAACCAGCAGTTAGTGTAACGGCTATGTCACTGGGCTCCCACGGAGTCGACCAAAGTTCACATCCCGGACCCGGTGGCTTAGAACTCACGCCAGGGGTGTGTGCGTGCGTGCCCAAGATCCCGAGAGGAGAATGGAGGAGAAGGGATTGCAGCGTGGCCATCCCCCCTGGGGGTTGATTTCTCGCTTTCTGTCTCTATGTCTCTCTCTGTCTGTCTGGCGAGCGCACGCGCCCTATAGCGAAAACCTCTCCAAAAAAAAAACAAAACACACACACACACACACACACACACACACACACACACCAATGTGTGTACCCAAAATCCCAAGAGAAGAAGGGATTGTGGTGTGGCCA